CATGCTCTGCGGTGGCTCCCGGCGTGGCCCTTGGGTGCGTCATCAGCTAACCTGGCCTGCAAGGGGCTTTATCTGGGGCCTTCAAAAGCCCACAGTTGAGACAAATTAGTGTATTTCCCACTTTACTGTGGGAATAAAGTGCTCGTTACTTCATCTCTAGTGTGCCTGCGGGGCCGCGCCGGTGTTGTCAGGCGTGATTGCCCTCACCTGGGAGCAACCAGGGCCACCGCAGCCACCATGCCTGTGGCTCCCTCTTCCACAGTCCTCCTGGGCCGGTCGCCTTCTCAGCATCCAGACACACGCACACGCACGCACGCGCAGGCACGCACACACTCATGCACACGTGCACCCACGCGCATACACACGCATGCATGCACACGTGCGAATACACGCACACACACATGCACGTGCACACACATGCACATGTGCACCCACGCATGCACACACACATGCACGTGCACCCACGCGCATGCACGCGCACACCTGCACACCTGCACCCACACACATGCACGCACACATGCACACATGTGCAAACACACACGTGCACAAGGACGCACCCACACGCACCTGCATACACGCACACATGCGTGACCACACAGAAATGTGCACTCATGCACAAGCACACATGCACACGTACACACACACGCACACACACCGGCCACAGTGGGCGCGGGGCAGAGGATGGCACGTGACCCCCGGGCCCCTAGCAGCAGTGACGCCCGTCAGTCCAACCCCGCACCTCCCGGCCAGGCCACGGGCTCTGGGCTGCCTCGTCCAGTCAAGGGCCACTAGCCAGTGACAGTCCCGGGGCCGGGGCTGCTGTTGTAGAGGGCGCAGGCACAGGCGTCCCCCCGGTGACAAAGCCCTCGAGGAGACGGCTGCTCCACGGCCATCGTTGGCAAGTAGCTGCCGCTGATGGCGCCGAAACATGAGGGGCTGGGGCCCGAGGAAGCCGGCGGTGCCCCAGCGGCCACCCAGAGCCGGCTGAGCCCGCCTGCTCTGGGCACCCACGAAAAGCAGCGGTTTACAGCCTGCGTCCCCAACGGCCGGAGAAGGGACTGCTCCCCAG